CAGATCCCTCACCGGCCCCCGCCACCGACGCCGTAAACCCTAGCTCCGTCGTGAACCCTAACGCCGTCAATGCTCCGCCGGCGGTGAGCACCTCCAGGACGCTTGGAAAGCCGGCGACGGAGAAGAAGTCCAAGAGGGCGCAGTTGCTCCAGTTTCAGAGTGATACGATCTCCGCTGCTAAGGCGCTTAACCCCGTTAGGGCTCATCAGAGACAGCACAAGAAAAAGGTCTCCTTTTCTTCCTTCTAGTTTTTGAAGAAAATTGATTGCTTGCAAGATGTTTGATTATATTCTTGAATGAACATTGCTTTGTGCAGCCGGTGTCTTATGCTCAGCTGACGCGGCTCATTCATGAGCATGCTGCCACATCGGATCAGGTTTTTGTTTACTCCTCATGTATCTATGCTGCTCTGGTTATAATGTTTGTTTTGTTGCAAAAATAACTTGTAGACAAACATTTGTTGCAAGAAACCAGCTTTAAATCCATTGTTTGGGTATCCGCAATTTACTACGTATTTCCAATGCACAATTGTTGTAAAAGGTAGATTATTTTATCATGTAAGAAAACATGGGTGTAGATTGTTTTCCTGTTTGGAATGGGAAAGGTTTTTTGATGAGGTGGAATTGTTTTTTTTTTCATTTAAATTTTCTTTTCTGGAGGTCGCAACTTTTGTTCCCACCAAATTGGTTGCAGCTTTTTCCTGCAAAATGTATTGCCTTTCCTAATTAATGTTGCAAACCAAACAATTGAAATATAACTTAGGTTGAAATAATTACATTTGCAGCTCTATTTCCACACAATCAGACATCCCCCCTATAACAGAAGTTCAATGTGACGTTTTGCTTTTGTTTTCATTTTGTGTTCAGAAAAAGTCACGGAAGCAGTTAGTATCCCACGTGTTTCCGAAGCTAGCAGTGTATAACTCTGTGGATCCATCTTTGGCGCCATCTCTTCTCATGGTTTGCTTCGTCTCCTCTATGTTAGATTGTTATTAACAGTTCAATATTCTTTCTGCACAATTGGTTCTAATGTGTGTTTCTCTATAAAGATTTATTATTAAATTGTATGTCCACAGTATGATGGAACAGCTTGCATGCTTCTAGGCAATCCAATAACATTATATATTATAGCTTTACTATTAGTAGCTGTCTGGTATCTACTTACTGTATATTAATGAAATGAATTGGTAAGGGGAATGTATAAATTTTCATTTTGTATTGATCATATAACCCACTAGATTACAATGATAAAGGCAATTTGGAGATTTCTTGATTAAAACTGTATTCAGTGTGATTACATAAGACCATTTTTTTAAGATAACAAAACAAATAGTTAGGGATTTGCACCCTTATGGTTGTCAGTACATTTTTTATTTTCTTCTATGTGCTTTCTCTTACAAATACACTCCATTATCCCACCCACTGATCCAGGGAAAAAGAACAATTTCACCTATATGAACTATGTACATATGAAAAAGAGAAATAAGAGAATAAAAATAGATAAGAATGAAATTGAAGAATAAATGAAACTGAAGTACGGGTATGGATACAAAAGAACACTTGATAAATAATCTTGGAGCTTAATTCAAGACTTCGACCTATGATAGAATGTAACAGAATTTTCCCACTTTTAAGACTAGGATGGTGTTGCCAGTAAAGAAAATAAGTAAATATTCAGTTTCATGAGGTTGGGTTGGATGTCTTCTTAGTTGACTTGATAGGGAGTTGCTAAAATGATGAAATACAAAGCTAGTGCCCCCAATTAGTTTACTCAATCATAATAGATGATGATGACAATGATATGCTGTAAAACTCCTATGGTATCCACAGTGTTTTCAAAGGCGTGCGTCTCACTGTGCCTCATGCGCCTTGTGACGCGTGGCGTTGGCAGAGCGTACCGCATCTGATTCAGTAGCGTCTTTTGCGCCTTGGTTGGATCTTGACTTTGCGCAGGGTGCATGTAGCACATATCCTCATATTTTTATTTGTTAACATTTTAATCAAGTCTTTATACTTATACTCGATAATCCATATCCCAAAAAGCATAGTAAATCCATCAAAACTTTTAGTAGCCTTTAATTGAGGATTTTAACTAATCCTTTGCTTGGATTTACTCTTGATTTGACATTTGATTTGAATTATGAACTTTGCTACTATGTTGGGTGTTAGCATTTAAAATTAAGACCTTATATTGTGATTTTTAGTAAGATAGTACTTATCATGACATATTTTTTACATGAATTCCTAAACATGTTATTTCGTGCTTGATTATCTATCGTGAAAATTTATATGTACAGTATGCGCCTCGCATCACTCGGGCGCGCACATCCCGTTGCACCTTGCGCATGTGCGCCTAAAGATACTTTGCTCCCCGCATTGCGTTTCGCGCATTGAAAACACAGGGTATCCGCTCCCAGTATAACTCTTATCTAGATGAATCTTTGATATTTATCCGGCTGTCCTGCACACATTAAGTGTTTCCTGTCATTTATTAGGCAGTAAACTGTTATATCTGTCTTTTGATTGACCAACCAAACAACTAGCCATACACGATGGTCATTAAGCTGCGTCCACAGGAATGTCTGCCTAAGTGCAGGTTTACAGGACCTGATTCTGATGGCTAGGTTTTGGTCAATAGACTCAATGCACAGGAGCTAATTTACGCCTTAAGAACCTACTTTTTGTCCTGACTATTTGCTCATTATCCATTTCTCTTTGAGAGTATATATTGAGATATAATGTAACCATGCCCTTCAAGAATTCATTGAGCTTTACATGCAAAAGCTGCTTAAGATTTCTGAGTCCATCTATATTGTTTCAGATCTTAAATACCATTCATTTCTGTACTTTGTAAGAAAGAATATGTAGGAGAAAGTTCAGGATTGTAACGGGGCAGCCTCACATTTTCCAAATCACTTCAAAATTTGGAGTGATGCCCACTCAGTAAGGTGAAAAAGTTTTCTACTTGAATCACAAGAAACCTTGTATCTCTTCTTTTTATCCAAGCTCTCTCTGAGACTTATCTCTTTATTTTATTTATTATTTCAGATTACAGATTACATTAACAGAAATTATGTATTCAAGTTTTTGGTTTACCTTATTCACCCAACTTCTAGGGGTCACATTTAGCTTTAGTGTTTTTAAGAATGAAGCACAGGGGCCTAATTCTGCATTTTACCTAATATAGAAGCCTCTATTTTCTGTTTCTATTGGATCATCATTAATTGAATTTTTAGTGATGATTACTGTTAGTGTTTAGGACCGAGGTATTCTCTTAATTGATATATGGGTTGTGTTTTTGCAGCTTCATCAACAGTGTGAGGATAGGAGTGTTCTGCGTTATGTGTACTACTACTTGGCTAGAATCTTATCAGATAGTGGTGTCCAAGGTTTAGCTCCAGAAGGTGGAATTCCCACTCCAAATTGGGATGTACTTGCTAAGATTGATGATGTTGGGGGTATCACCAGAGCAGATGTGGTACCTCGAATAGTAGATCGGCTTACTTCAGAGGCTTTAATGGCTGATGCCGAATGTACAAAGTTTTATCACTTTATTTTTCTTTTTAGCTATATTCATTTCAGTTTCTTCTTATTTTGTTTTCGTTGAAGTAGCCATTTTACTTAATAGTGCGGAAGAAATTTGTATATTAAGTGAAAACTCATAACAGATAACCAAATCTTTTGAGCCAAACTTTACAAACTGAATCATTTGCCTTTGACCTGGTCGTATGAGGCCGTATTCATCTATCAAAGAGAGACTGAGTAAATTTAACATGTAATTTTATTTTTTCTTTCCTTTCTTTAAGTGAAGTAATTTACATATTTTCCAGGAGTAATCCACACAAATCGACATAGGTTTCGTACACCACTCTATAGAATAAGGTTGAACTTGCTTGAGGCCGTATTCATCTATCAAAGAGAGACTGAGTAAATTTAACATGTAATTTTATTTTTTCTTTCCTTTCTTTAAGTGAAGTAATTTACATATTTTCCAGGAGTAATCCACACAAATCGACATAGGTTTCGTACACCACTCTATAGAATAAGGTTGAACTTGCTCTCTTTGTGCCTCCTCTAAAGGCATCTCTCTCCCATTCTGTATTTTTATCTGCCTTGTCATCACCTTGTGTCATTAATCTTCTGAGTCTTCATCTATACATTTCTTAACCTCATTTTCTGGTTCATGATTTCTCAGGTTGCAGATCCAAAAAAGCGTAAGAAAGGCATTTTAGGCAAGCAAGTCGGTGATAAAAAGGTACTATATTTAGTTGAGTTAAAATTTGAAAACTTCATATCTTTTTCCATGAACACCATATAAGTGCCTTTCTCTTCGTATGATGTAAACACTATTTTTAAATTTTCCTTTCATATTTTGTGCTTATTTGGTAAGCATGAAAGCTGATATATTTTTCGAAATTGCATATCTATTTTCTTTGGATAGCAATAGTATGACTACTGCTGTTGTGCTTCACACATATCCTGAAAAGGTTGGTTTTGTATGGGGATCCCTTAGGACCACATGAGCTTTTTACCAATTGAAGCTTATTTTATTGTTCCTAAAGAAAAAGCTGAAGAACTTGGGTGTTCGTGATGATGCTTGCTATGTTGTGATCAGGGAAAGAAAATTTGAACATTGTGGAACACACATAATAGCTTTTGTAAAGTTCAGTTGTTTTCTTTAAATGGTTAGCTAGATTGCTGTTTCAAGAAAAAAATTTCGCTATTTTATTTGTTGCACTTCAGTTCAATATTCCTAGTTTCATCACAAGGTTGCTCAACATTCTTTTTCTTTAATCTGCAGTCAGTTATTCGGAATAATTTGCAATATGCCACTATTAGTGCTTTGAGAAGACTTCCTATAGATCACGGAAATCCTGCATTTCTCCATCGAGCTGTACAAGGGTAAGTGTAATTTTCTCCATCCTAGTCATTCCAATGACTTTTCCCCCTACTATCATAGAAGGATCTGAAGAAGCTGAGAGACTCTACTAGTTTCTTGTTCATATCTCTCCTTAAGATGTACAGATTTTAACATGATAATTTAATCAGTAAATACAGATGGTGCCATTTATGGGGTCTTTATGGGTAATAATTCATTACTTTCATGCATGAACTGAATTAGAAGTTTTATCATACGGTTTATCAGGTTATTCAGACTTTTTTAGACAGTATTTTTTGCTTCCTTTGGCTTTGCATTTCAAAACTAAGTAACTAGTATGGACACAAACACGGGATAGCAGTATGACGGTGATATGACACGGACATGGGACACGCCAATCCCTCAAAAGCAGGACATGGGGGCATGACGGGGTATTAGGGAATATATATAATATAATAATGGAGAAAGAGTTTATATACGTATACATACATAACATATGTATCATTACCCAAGAGTGAAAGTCATTATTTCTAATAAAATAAACATACACGGATTAAAAATATGCGAAAGTTTTTTTGACTTCGCAGAAGGAGCAGGTCTTGTCTTCAACTTTGTACAAATTATCTAGACATATCCAACATATCTTAGTTCTGTTCAGGTCTGTATTTTAATTACATTTTCCCGCTAAAGTAGTTTTTTTCTTCATATAAATGAAAGTAAACACATATCTGAAGCATTTAATATGAATCAGAAATGCGTGGGAACTGGTAAGTGTGAAATATGGGTATACAACAACTGTTGTAAATAAAAAAATGTATTTGATGTCATATTTGGGGAAGCACATGACACGCATCCAAGTAGTGTCCGAGGAAGTGTCACACGGGTGTTGGCCTATCCAACACAGGTCCAACGTCATTCTAGAAGTATGTGTGCTACATAGATTACCGCGAAGAAAAGCATATCTCCATTTTTCATTCAAATCATGACCATTATGACTAATTATGACTTTACCATGAAAGCTGTCAGGCAATGGTATCAATCAACTGTTCTGCATTGTAGCAGAATCGTTGTCTTTTTCTGAGTCAAACTTCAAGGATCATGGATTTTGTTTTTTTATTCCCCTTCTCTTAAGATGTACTTTCTCATGTACTATTTATTACTTCAAATATGTGTATTCCAGTACGGTTGAATGGAAAAGATCTTTTGCTATTCAACTTATTGGTCAGTAATATCGTGATTGCGTATCTCAAACTTATTGGTGAGTTATATCATTTTGGGATCGATATGACCGCAGGCTTTTATTTGCTGATCCTCTTGCTGTGCGGCATGCATTGGGCATAATTTCCGAGTTAGCTAAGAAAGATCCCTATTCTGTTGCCATAGCTTTGGGTTAGTTCTCTTACTTGATACCTGTGGCTGTTAGTGTAAAGAACATTATGCCATCTTGCTGCTTTCTGATATCATAAAGTTTTAGACATTTATGTAGTCATTTTTTTGGAAAAAGTATTGTTATACACATAACATGCCCAGGCATATGCCTAAACGCATCACTAGCATATATCCTGGCAATATTTTTTATATTTGGATTTTGTGCTGATGTCCTTGCCTTTTCCTCTTTTTCAGGCAAGCATGCGGAACCGGGAGGTATGTTGGTAAACCTTGTTGTCGTTGATGCCATTTTCAGGGTTTCTTGTAGGCTGTGTTAGTAATAAAATTTGTAAAATTTGTATCAGTGCTAACGATACCCTATTCCAGCCATTCGAGTGTAGAGGTTATTCCATTTTATAACAGTCTAATGTCTTGGTGGCAGACCATGTTTTTGCTAAAATTTTGAAGTGAAAAGTGGGTTTATCTTTGGTGGACATAAAATTCTTCCAAATAGGCAGTAAAAAAAAAGGCAAAGTCCTTAGGAATATAAAATATGGAGAGAAGGCAACTTAGACATTATTGACTGAAATAAGGTATTTTCTTAATATTCTGTGTTTGCTACATTTTCATGGTTACTAGGACATACTAATTTTGCGCTTCTGCAATTTTTGGGTTAAGAAATGTGAACACTTCTTGTAATTCTGATTTTGACTCCTTTTTATATGCGTGGTCATATCTAAATTATGGGTTCCCGATTATGCATCGTTTATCTATATTTGCTAAGGTAGGTGTTACATGAAGCAGGTTCGTTGCAGGATGTTCTTCATTTGCGTGATGTTCTCGCTAGGGTATCCCTAGCAAGATTGTGTAATACAATATCTAGAGCACGCTCACTAGATGGTCTGTACAATATCGTTGATTTTTAAATTATTAATTTCTGTTGAAACGTTTTTCCTTGGGGATTATACTTACATGATTTATCTGAAAATATATTTATTCAGATATTCCTGAAGTTAAGTCCCAGTTCACTTCTATTCTCTATCAACTTCTTCTTGATCCTTGTGACCGGGTTTGTTTTGAGGCTATAATGTGTGTTTTAGGGAAATCTGAGGGTACAGAAAGGTATTTTCTTATTGGACTAAATAGTTTTCTAGTACACTTCTCCGATTTGCTAGTTCTCATTGATGGAATAACTTAACTGTTCTCTCTGAATTGTTATTATAGGACTGAAGATCGAGCTGCTGGATGGATCCAATTCACTAGAGAAGTTCTCAAGTTGCCTGAGGCACCAAAACGAAGCAAATCAAAGTCCGCTAAATCAAGACGCCCTCAACCTCTTATAAAACTTGTTATGAGAAGGTTTATGATCTTCACTTTCTTTCTTTAGTTCTTAATACTTCTTTATATACTCTTCTCACACTTCCTGGCCGTTTTTGTCTTGCAAAACTGGAATACAAGAACTAGAGATCTGTAGTAGACAATTCACTAGCCTTTCTTTTGCTTTTTCTATATAGTGACATTTTTAATGCATATAGATTGGGGAGCTCTTTTCGTAGCTTCTACCGTCCTGTGCTTCATGCAGCAGCAAGAGTTGTTCAGGAAATAGGAAAAAGCAGGGCAGCAGCATACTCTCTAGGAATATATGACATTGATGAAGGAACTCAACTTCATATGCATTCTGAAAGTGTTGATTCAATTGATTTGGATATCAGTGAAAGGTCACAATCTGAAGGTATTTCCCCATGAACTTTTTAGTGGTAAGATGTTCAGCTTTTACGTTTCGAATGTATTTTTCTGTTTAGCATGGAATTGTTTTCAACTGGTTTTCTGATTTTTAAATGACTTTTAGCTTTTACTAGTTAATTTAGGCATCACACCTTAGGTCCCTCAGACAATTATAAATTGTACACCAATCTGAACTCTGTATCAGATATAGTTTATGTAACTAGTTAAGATTGTTATAACTGGTTTATTTACATTAGAACATCATCATTATTGTTTAACATTGTAAGTTTTCACATATTTGTGATTCTCAACTTTTCTGTGTGGTCTTGAAGCACATGACATGATTGAGGAATTAGGTTATTTACCTGCCCATTTACCTACTGACCTGCCCATTTACCTACTGAGTCTAATGGTGAGCTTCTCTTATGTCCATAATATCTGTGGCCTAAGAGTTGCCACAACTTGGAGGGCTGCTTGACATCAACTTTTTCGTGAGCTTCAAAACTTTCTTCATAGTAGTCCCTTTTGTCGCAAAAAGGTTAAGATGGTAATGATTATCACTTATTGTCGTATTGTTTAACTAGTTTCTTTGGTACATGTATTCACATCTCATGTATATTTGTTTTGCAAATTAGCTTTCTGTAAAATTCCTATTATGTATACAATATATGTGAAGAACTGGCAGAATGCAAACACAAATGCTTACCAAGGAAAGAAGTGTGTATTTACAAGTTGTTCTTGGTTAATGCCGGAGTTGTAAAGGCAAAAGGCGATCCAAGGCAGCAAAGTACTTTATTCCCTGGCAAGAGGTTTGGGGGGGAAAAAAGCTTGCATGGGCTAAGCGAGGTGACAAATGCTTAGAAAAGAAAAAAGATATAGCGGTGTGCTATTCATAACTAATAAAATATTTCATTTCAAGAACTGCTACATGGATGACATGCCAGACATAAAAGCACATAAATAACATCATGAAATAGAGAAATTTGTATCTATGCATAGAGCACAATGCTAACAAATTTTTATTCATCAATTGATGGAACTGTTTTTCTTGACTTTGCCTTCTTCAGGAAAAGCAACACGTATGTCAAATGGGACAGGTGGTGAGACTACAATTGCAAGTTTATTAGCTTCGTTGATGGAAGTAGTTCGAACGACTGTGGCATGTGAATGTGTTTATGTTCGCGGAATGGTGATAAAAGCTTTAATCTGGATGCTAAATCCAAATGATTTGTTGGAAAAGTATTGTTAATAACACATAACATGCCCCAGGCATATGGCCTAAACGCGATCACTAGCATATATCCTGGCAATATTTTTTTATATTGGATTTTGGTGCTGATGTCCTTGCCTTTTCCTCTTTCAGGCAAGCATGCGGAACCGGGGGGCAGGTATGTTGGCTAAACCTTGTGTCGTTGATTGCCATTTTCAGGGTTTCTTGTAGGCCTGTTTAGTAATAAAATTTGTAAAATTTGTATCAGTGCTAACGATACCCTTATTTCCAGCCATTCAGCTGTAGAACGGTATTCGCAATTTTATAACAGTCTAATGTCTTGCGTGCCCAGACCATGTTTTGCTAAAATTTTGTAACGTGAAAAGTGTTTATTCTTTGGTGGACATAAAATTTCTTCAAATAGGCAGTAAAAAAAAAGGCAAAGTCCCTTAGGAATATAAATATATGGAGAAGAAGGCCAACTTAGACAATTATTGACTGAAATAAGCGTATTTTCTTAATACTTCTGTGTTTGCCTACATTTTCATGGGCTATAGGACATACTAATTTTGCGGCTTCTGCAAATTTTGGGTTAAGAAATCGTGAACACTTCTTGTATTCTGATTTTGACTCCTTTTTATTATGCGTGGTCATATCTAAATTATGGGTTCACCGATTATGGCCATCGTTTATCATATTGTGCCTAAGCGTTAGTTTACATGCAAGCAGCGTTCGTGCAGGATGTTCTTCATTTGCGTGATGTCTCGCTAGGCGATATCCACTAAGCAAGATTGTGTAATACAACCCTATCTAGAGCACGCCTCACTAGATGGTCTGACAATATCGTGATTTTTAAATTATTAATTCTGTGAACGTTTTTCCTTAGGATTATACTTACATGATTTATCTGAAAATATTTATTTAATTCAGATATTCCTGAAGTTAAGTCCCAGTCACTTCTATTCTCTATCAATTCTTCATTGACCTTGGTGACCGGCGTTTGTTTGCTGTTGTTTTTTTGTTGTTTTGAAGTTCATGCACGGAGGCTTGCAGCTCTCAAAGCTCTTACCGCTGCCTCGGCTACCAGTCCTGAAATTCTGGCCAAATTGTATGAAATTGTGTTTGCCATTTTGGAGAAGGTTTGTACTTGTGGCACATATCTTTATATGTACCAAACATCTAGCTGGCTGCCCATGCCTCTTTGTGCCTCCTCTAAAGGCATCTCTCTCCCATTCTGTATTTTTATCTGCCTTGTCATCACCTTGTGTCATTAATCTTCTGAGTCTTCATCTATACATTTCTTAACCTCATTTTCTGGTTCATGATTTCTCAGGTTGCAGATCCAAAAAAGCGTAAGAAAGGCATTTTAGGCAAGCAAGTCGGTGATAAAAAGGTACTATATTTAGTTGAGTTAAAATTTGAAAACTTCATATCTTTTTCCATGAACACCATATAAGTGCCTTTCTCTTCGTATGATGTAAACACTATTTTTAAATTTTCCTTTCATATTTTGTGCTTATTTGGTAAGCATGAAAGCTGATATATTTTTCGAAATTGCATATCTATTTTCTTTGGATAGCAATAGTATGACTACTGCTGTTGTGCTTCACACATATCCTGAAAAGGTTGGTTTTGTATGGGGATCCCTTAGGACCACATGAGCTTTTTACCAATTGAAGCTTATTTTATTGTTCCTAAAGAAAAAGCTGAAGAACTTGGGTGTTCGTGATGATGCTTGCTATGTTGTGATCAGGGAAAGAAAATTTGAACATTGTGGAACACACATAATAGCTTTTGTAAAGTTCAGTTGTTTTCTTTAAATGGTTAGCTAGATTGCTGTTTCAAGAAAAAAATTTCGCTATTTTATTTGTTGCACTTCAGTTCAATATTCCTAGTTTCATCACAAGGTTGCTCAACATTCTTTTTCTTTAATCTGCAGTCAGTTATTCGGAATAATTTGCAATATGCCACTATTAGTGCTTTGAGAAGACTTCCTATAGATCACGGAAATCCTGCATTTCTCCATCGAGCTGTACAAGGGTAAGTGTAATTTTCTCCATCCTAGTCATTCCAATGACTTTTCCCCCTACTATCATAGAAGGATCTGAAGAAGCTGAGAGACTCTACTAGTTTCTTGTTCATATCTCTCCTTAAGATGTACAGATTTTAACATGATAATTTAATCAGTAAATACAGATGGTGCCATTTATGGGGTCTTTATGGGTAATAATTCATTACTTTCATGCATGAACTGAATTAGAAGTTTTATCATACGGTTTATCAGGTTATTCAGACTTTTTTAGACAGTATTTTTTGCTTCCTTTGGCTTTGCATTTCAAAACTAAGTAACTAGTATGGACACAAACACGGGATAGCAGTATGACGGTGATATGACACGGACATGGGACACGCCAATCCCTCAAAAGCAGGACATGGGGGCATGACGGGGTATTAGGGAATATATATAATATAATAATGGAGAAAGAGTTTATATACGTATACATACATAACATATGTATCATTACCCAAGAGTGAAAGTCATTATTTCTAATAAAATAAACATACACGGATTAAAAATATGCGAAAGTTTTTTTGACTTCGCAGAAGGAGCAGGTCTTGTCTTCAACTTTGTACAAATTATCTAGACATATCCAACATATCTTAGTTCTGTTCAGGTCTGTATTTTAATTACATTTTCCCGCTAAAGTAGTTTTTTTCTTCATATAAATGAAAGTAAACACATATCTGAAGCATTTAATATGAATCAGAAATGCGTGGGAACTGGTAAGTGTGAAATATGGGTATACAACAACTGTTGTAAATAAAAAAATGTATTTGATGTCATATTTGGGGAAGCACATGACACGCATCCAAGTAGTGTCCGAGGAAGTGTCACACGGGTGTTGGCCTATCCAACACAGGTCCAACGTCATTCTAGAAGTATGTGTGCTACATAGATTACCGCGAAGAAAAGCATATCTCCATTTTTCATTCAAATCATGACCATTATGACTAATTATGACTTTACCATGAAAGCTGTCAGGCAATGGTATCAATCAACTGTTCTGCATTGTAGCAGAATCGTTGTCTTTTTCTGAGTCAAACTTCAAGGATCATGGATTTTGTTTTTTTATTCCCCTTCTCTTAAGATGTACTTTCTCATGTACTATTTATTACTTCAAATATGTGTATTCCAGTACGGTTGAATGGAAAAGATCTTTTGCTATTCAACTTATTGGTCAGTAATATCGTGATTGCGTATCTCAAACTTATTGGTGAGTTATATCATTTTGGGATCGATATGACCGCAGGCTTTTATTTGCTGATCCTCTTGCTGTGCGGCATGCATTGGGCATAATTTCCGAGTTAGCTAAGAAAGATCCCTATTCTGTTGCCATAGCTTTGGGTTAGTTCTCTTACTTGATACCTGTGGCTGTTAGTGTAAAGAACATTATGCCATCTTGCTGCTTTCTGATATCATAAAGTTTTAGACATTTATGTAGTCATTTTTTTGGAAAAAGTATTGTTATACACATAACATGCCCAGGCATATGCCTAAACGCATCACTAGCATATATCCTGGCAATATTTTTTATATTTGGATTTTGTGCTGATGTCCTTGCCTTTTCCTCTTTTTCAGGCAAGCATGCGGAACCGGGAGGTATGTTGGTAAACCTTGTTGTCGTTGATGCCATTTTCAGGGTTTCTTGTAGGCTGTGTTAGTAATAAAATTTGTAAAATTTGTATCAGTGCTAACGATACCCTATTCCAGCCATTCGAGTGTAGAGGTTATTCCATTTTATAACAGTCTAATGTCTTGGTGGCAGACCATGTTTTTGCTAAAATTTTGAAGTGAAAAGTGGGTTTATCTTTGGTGGACATAAAATTCTTCCAAATAGGCAGTAAAAAAAAAGGCAAAGTCCTTAGGAATATAAAATATGGAGAGAAGGCAACTTAGACATTATTGACTGAAATAAGGTATTTTCTTAATATTCTGTGTTTGCTACATTTTCATGGTTACTAGGACATACTAATTTTGCGCTTCTGCAATTTTTGGGTTAAGAAATGTGAACACTTCTTGTAATTCTGATTTTGACTCCTTTTTATATGCGTGGTCATATCTAAATTATGGGTTCCCGATTATGCATCGTTTATCTATATTTGCTAAGGTAGGTGTTACATGAAGCAGGTTCGTTGCAGGATGTTCTTCATTTGCGTGATGTTCTCGCTAGGGTATCCCTAGCAAGATTGTGTAATACAATATCTAGAGCACGCTCACTAGATGGTCTGTACAATATCGTTGATTTTTAAATTATTAATTTCTGTTGAAACGTTTTTCCTTGGGGATTATACTTACATGATTTATCTGAAAATATATTTATTCAGATATTCCTGAAGTTAAGTCCCAGTTCACTTCTATTCTCTATCAACTTCTTCTTGATCCTTGTGACCGGGTTTGTTTTGAGGCTATAATGTGTGTTTTAGGGAAATCTGAGGGTACAGAAAGGTATTTTCTTATTGGACTAAATAGTTTTCTAGTACACTTCTCCGATTTGCTAGTTCTCATTGATGGAATAACTTAACTGTTCTCTCTGAATTGTTATTATAGGACTGAAGATCGAGCTGCTGGATGGATCCAATTCACTAGAGAAGTTCTCAAGTTGCCTGAGGCACCAAAACGAAGCAAATCAAAGTCCGCTAAATCAAGACGCCCTCAACCTCTTATAAAACTTGTTATGAGAAGGTTTATGATCTTCACTTTCTTTCTTTAGTTCTTAATACTTCTTTATATACTCTTCTCACACTTCCTGGCCGTTTTTGTCTTGCAAAACTGGAATACAAGAACTAGAGATCTGTAGTAGACAATTCACTAGCCTTTCTTTTGCTTTTTCTATATAGTGACATTTTTAATGCATATAGATTGGGGAGCTCTTTTCGTAGCTTCTACCGTCCTGTGCTTCATGCAGCAGCAAGAGTTGTTCAGGAAATAGGAAAAAGCAGGGCAGCAGCATACTCTCTAGGAATATATGACATTGATGAAGGAACTCAACTTCATATGCATTCTGAAAGTGTTGATTCAATTGATTTGGATATCAGTGAAAGGTCACAATCTGAAGGTATTTCCCCATGAACTTTTTAGTGGTAAGATGTTCAGCTTTTACGTTTCGAATGTATTTTTCTGTTTAGCATGGAATTGTTTTCAACTGGTTTTCTGATTTTTAAATGACTTTTAGCTTTTACTAGTTAATTTAGGCATCACACCTTAGGTCCCTCAGACAATTATAAATTGTACACCAATCTGAACTCTGTATCAGATATAGTTTATGTAACTAGTTAAGATTGTTATAACTGGTTTATTTACATTAGAACATCATCATTATTGTTTAACATTGTAAGTTTTCACATATTTGTGATTCTCAACTTTTCTGTGTGGTCTTGAAGCACATGACATGATTGAGGAATTAGGTTATTTACCTGCCCATTTACCTACTGACCTGCCCATTTACCTACTGAGTCTAATGGTGAGCTTCTCTTATGTCCATAATATCTGTGGCCTAAGAGTTGCCACAACTTGGAGGGCTGCTTGACATCAACTTTTTCGTGAGCTTCAAAACTTTCTTCATAGTAGTCCCTTTTGTCGCAAAAAGGTTAAGATGGTAATGATTATCACTTATTGTCGTATTGTTTAACTAGTTTCTTTGGTACATGTATTCACATCTCATGTATATTTGTTTTGCAAATTAGCTTTCTGTAAAATTCCTATTATGTATACAATATATGTGAAGAACTGGCAGAATGCAAACACAAATGCTTACCAAGGAAAGAAGTGTGTATTTACAAGTTGTTCTTGGTTAATGCCGGAGTTGTAAAGGCAAAAGGCGATCCAAGGCAGCAAAGTACTTTATTCCCTGGCAAGAGGTTTGGGGGGGAAAAAAGCTTGCATGGGCTAAGCGAGGTGACAAATGCTTAGAAAAGAAAAAAGATATAGCGGTGTGCTATTCATAACTAATAAAATATTTCATTTCAAGAACTGCTACATGGATGACATGCCAGACATAAAAGCACATAAATAACATCATGAAATAGAGAAATTTGTATCTATGCATAGAGCACAATGCTAACAAATTTTTATTCATCAATTGATGGAACTGTTTTTCTTGACTTTGCCTTCTTCAGGAAAAGCAACACGTATGTCAAATGGGACAGGTGGTGAGACTACAATTGCAAGTTTATTAGCTTCGTTGATGGAAGTAGTTCGAACGACTGTGGCATGTGAATGTGTTTATGTTCGCGGAATGGTGATAAAAGCTTTAATCTGGATGCTAAATCCAAATGACTCGTTTGATGAGCTCAAAGCTATAATTGCATCTGAGCTGTCTGACCCTGCTTGGCCATCGGCAGTATTGAATGATATCTTACTTACCCTGCACGCTCGCTTCAAGGTATTGAATGATATCTTACGTACTCTGCATGATATCTTACTTACTCTGCATGCTCGGTTCAACGCATTTCTTTGTAATCTTACATGCCAAGCAGTCTGTTAGTGTTATGTGAATTTACATGTGATTTTTTGCTATTTCAACTGACTATATCACATTTGTTAATTTTATTGTCTAGGTACTGTTACAATTTCAATGCAGCTGCACAGAAAATATTATAGACGAAAAAGTATCATTAACAATTTTTAAGTCATTGATGTAGACATGTGTCAGTTGATTTTGTCTTATGTATTCTATGAGTAACTATTTGTTCTTCTGTTCTTTTTCCCCTTTTAAAGATTTTGTGTGCATAATATCAGTTTTCTTCCTTGCACTCGGATTTATCAATATTAAGGTATCAATTTAATGAAAGCTCAATGTTTTTCCTTAGAATATTCTTTTCCTGCCTGGAGACACTGTTATTTAGAACTCTTGTGTCCTAGTGAGATTAAGAGGACAAGCACATTAGAGAACTTCTTGATTCCTTTGGATGGTGTTTCTAGAAAATTTGTGGCTTCTTGTTATAGATAATTTTCTGCCATATTTTGCACTTTTTCTTTTGATGGAATTGTATTATGTATTATTTGTTTCTTTTTCTTATTATGCATCAAATATCTAACTAGAAAAATATTTAACCAGTCATATCGTCCTCGAAATAAAATGTGTATGCAATACCTTCTCTTCTTTAGTTCAGTCAAATGAGGGAAATAGGAAGTGTTGGTTGAATCTATTTGGAGTGGATACTTAATATTGTACTTTAAATGGGTTACACTTTGCTGGAGAATCAGGTTTCTCTTTAGACTGCAAACTAGCATTTCTGTTTGCACATAGAGGCACATTTCCCTTGATGGAAATACTTGCGCAACACTGAAATTTCACACTTGTATCACACTTGTGTTAGTCTTACACTACTTATCGGACAATTATCTCCAGCAGATGCATGAAGTAGTATGCCTCAACAGAAAAAGGAAAAAATATATAAAAAGATAGAATTCTTATTCTATGCTGTGTGAGGTTATTTTTCATCTCACTATTTTCTTTGATGTCCATATGAGCTGGGCCTGAAGTTCTCCCTCTTGCTTTAAACTTTTAATGTATCAGGCTACTCCAGCTATGGCAGTCACCCTACTTGAAGTTGCAAGAATTTTTGCCACCAAAGTTCCTGGAAAGATTGATGCAGATGTGTTGCAGCTTCTGTGGAAAGTAGGTTCACCCAGGTCTAAATGTAGCAGTCTCTTTATGTTACATCTTTTACATGTATCAGTTGTGCCCCTTGCTTGCAACTAATGATGAGAATATGGCCATTTGCAATCAAACATGTGGCATCGTCTTTAATGTGTTGTTTACTCAATACATTTTACGCGAATGATCTAGTCCCTGATTCTTGTTTCATTAGTTGATAAGTAATTATTCCAAATCTTTGAGGATCAATCATGCGTCATCTTTTTCGAGCCCCTGTTTTATGCATATTTCATCTGCTTGGAACTTTAAAGTTTAAACTAGGAGAGAATTGATAACAGGTTGAGAGTCTACCCTGAATACTGCAAAAAAGCTTAGATGATGGTGATGATTTAATTAATAAAATTTTATCTGTTTGGCGGGATGAATTGAAGAATGTACCATGTTCTTATTACAAAACTATAGATTGCTGTATTCATGTTGTTATAAGCCTTACTGGTCAGAATGAGGATCAAATGCTTGGGCATGTAGTATAACACGGTTTGTCGTTTATCACATAATTATTTCTGAATAATTAGATTCAATTGTGCATGAGTACACCAGAGAAATTATCCCTATAGTTGAGTGATCATTTTATCATTCATTTTTCATTTATCTTTATATGTAGAGTGCCTACGTTCTTGTTAGTTATTAGAATATTAAGTTCCTCAAATAAACTGTGGAGGATTACTCGAAATGAGAATGTTGAGATGGATTAGCAGCCATATCACAGATAGGATAAAATGTCAGCATGTTAGAATGCAGGTGATGTGGTGATATTCACATTTAGAGTTGCCGCCAAACCCCATTGTATCATTAAACGTCCTCCCTGGACAAACATGGTTATTATTTATAGGCAGTAATAGGTTTTGGCCACCACGTAATGCAGTATATAGTTTCTTCTTCTAACTTCCCAATAAAGGACTTCCCTGGAGTTAACACATTTTAATACTACTTCCACCTTGAGTGCATGGGAACAAGTATAGGCCATACACCTTCTTAGGACATTATGCTCTTCAGTTTTTGTGCATATCTGTAAAAACATAGTGGGTAAACAAAAGTTGAAGGATTGGAGGACATCTCATTTCAACTATAGTTGAAAGGGTAAAATGGTAATTTCATAAGGGGTTTTTTTTCCCCTTTTCTTTCTCTTTCTTTTTCTCATAGAATGTTCCATATCATACCATGACATGTATATGAAATTAGGACAAACATTTATCGTATTTCAGATTTTATTATAAAATGAATAAAAAAATGATAAGTTTGTTTTAGAAAAATAATAAATGTCTTTCTATACTATAAATAGAATAACGAAGATAGTGGAAAATGTAGGAAGAATGTGGATACCAGGTTTATAGTGCTTTTCTTTTGAAAACAGTAACTGTCATCACAAACATCCTCTCTCCGTATATTTGGAGCATCAAATGCACTCTTTCATTACATATAAACATAGAAATATAGAAATATTTTTCATATAGATCCTTATAAAATTAAAATTGCAATAGAAAAAACTTTTTCATATCATGTGCATTTGCATGTGCTAAATTTCTAGTATGGTTATAGTTGGAGTGGTCTTTACTTGGACTAGACCAAAATGCATATAGATCGTGGAAGTAAACAAGGTCAGATATTTTATTAACAGAGGTGTAATGTTGCTGAATTAACAAGAAAGAATCAAAACATTGAAGTGGCCAATACTGAGTTTTTGGATAAGGGCTTTGCTATATGTTGTTGTCCTTGTAGTTCCATTACATAGAATGGTAGATTATCTGGTTTTCTTGCATTGATGCTTATAGGTAGAGGAAGAAAAAAGCTAACAGTGCTTATCAATTAAACTGAAGTGATCCTTTTAGCTATTTCTGGAAATAGTTATTTATAGGTAATGTATGATATCTTTATGATGATAAGGTCTCTAGTCATGCATTTATCTGCTTCGTATCTTCACTTCCAATAAGCCCAGGTAGTATATAAAGAAAAAGATTGTCAACCACTTGGATTGACTGGGATATTTAGGGAAGTACCTGTTGCAAATCAAGGCTATGAATTGCTTACTTCAAAATAGGCTTTTACATGAACTTTTAGTTTTATTTTAAACTCAGAATGATCCTGGAATTTTTGTGTGTATTCGTCCATTTGTAGATCGTAGATGCATGCATAAAGCTACATACCATTTTATGTAGGTGTATACTATATACCATTTTATATTTAGGAGATGACTCCCCTTTTTCTGTTTCAGTGGTTTAATATATTGATGAGAGGGCTTCTATGTTGTTTCTATATGTATGATACTCTTTATCCATTGATTATGCAGGGATCTAGAAATGTTTGTGTTATTTGTCTATATGAAACTCTTTTCTTTTGATAAATTGTGTGATACTCTTTTATGGAACTTAATACCAAATCACATTTTAAAGGAGTGTAGTGCAAGTTAATATATATACATGCTTATTGTTTTTTACTCTAGACATGCCTTGTTGGAGCTGGATCTGATGGAAGGCACACAGCTCTAGAAGCAGTGACTATAGTCCTTGATTTACCTCCTCCACAACCTGGATCAACGTCAGGTCTTACTTCTGTTGACGGGGTTTCTGCGTCCGATCCAAAGGCTGCTATGGCATTACAGAAATTAGTGCAAGCTGCTGTAAGAATTTGGATTTATCTTCAACATTTACAATAAAATTGGAAGTCAACTTTTGGTACATGATCAACCGTTTATAACAAACAGGAACTATAAATATAATCGGGCTTCTGAAATTGATTCCTAAAGATTTACAGGTATGGTTCCTTGGTGAAAATGCAAATTATGCTGCGTCTGAATATGCCTGGGAATCTGCGACACCGCCTGGCACTGCATTGATGCTGTTAGATGCAGATAAAATGGTTGCTGCTGCTAATTCTCGAAATCCTACTCTTGCTGGTGCATTAACACGTCTTCAAAGGTGTGCGTTCAGTGGAAGTTGGGAGGTAGAATTTTTACAGAAATTTCCTTGCTTGGACATTTTCATGTTAAGCTCACATTAATTAGTTGGTATCAAGTCATTTTGTTAACTGTTCCTTTTTCCCTAATCTGAATTATCATCCACTCAGGTTCGAATAGTTGCCGCTCAAGCTCTTATCAGTCTGGCAATTCGGTCTGGTGAACCTTATAGGCTACAGATATATGAACTTTTACATGTTTTAGCCCAAGGTGGAGTGCAGTCTTCGTTTTCAGAAATGAACTATAGTAACGGTGAAGACCAAGGTGCTAGTGGTACTGGTCTTGGTATTTTGTTAAGTCCTATGCTGAGGATCCTCGATGATATGTACAAAGCACAAGATGATCTGACACGGTGAGCTGTAAAATATTTACTTTTTTCCCTAATTGGGTTTTCAATCACTTGATGTATGTTTTCTAGTACATATGCAGAGATATGCGCACTCATGATAACAATAAGCATGAGTGGACTGATGAAGAACTGAAGAAACTCTATGAGACCCATGAAAGACTGCTTGATTTAGTTACTCTTTTCTGCTATGTTCCAAGAGCAAAATATCTTCCTCTGGGACCTACCAGGTACGTGAAGTAGTTATGAATTTCTAGTGATTATGTGATGATATGACAAGTCATTATATAATTGTTTGGTTAGTGGCCTTAATTCGTTCTGACAGAACATGAGTAGTCCTGTTAGAATAAAATCAAATCAATATAGCACTGCTTGAAAAATATCATTGAGGAACCAAACACCATTGAGGGGAAAATGGTTATGAGATGACTATTCAGTTTACTAAATGAGCTATCAGAAGATGAGTTAGTGGTGATGTCACCCTACTAGTCACATCGAAGCTTCATTCCTATTTATTGGCAGCACATTATGCTAAATAAGGTGGAAGCTCATATCCAGTATCCCCTATATATATGCATGTATGTACATACATTGGTTTAAAATTTAATTTTCCTATAATATCATCATGAGTTCAACTCAAATTATTATAGACTGCAAAGATCATTAACTTCCGTTACAAGTATTATAGAAGTTTTTATATGGAGCACTATATACTTTATGTGCAAGTAACCATTTTGGTGTCTGGTGTAACTGCTGCTATGGGATTTTTGGCAAAGTTTTTATCTTGATGATGATGAGATTTTAGAATAAAAACAATCTGATCATATTATTATTTTTACCATCATCGACATATAGTTGAATTTCTTTGCTACATGAAGTTCATGCAAGTTAGTTCTCTCTTTATCCATCATTGATTCACTAGAGATTTAAAAGCACAGTTTAAGATGAAGCATGTGTTGAATTTCTCAAGGCTAAAATACGAGATTGGCCTAAAATGTGACACTCTTTAACTAGTTTGGTGTAAAAAGTAATGCCAGCGACAATTTGGCCTATAAGCTGTAAAGTGACAAAATGGTGACACTTAGGCTTTTCCGGTGCCGGAGTAACAGTCAAAAAACTCACGTGATAGCACGTGATGGGGTTTAAATTAAAGGGAAATCTGACGTGGCAAAGATTAAACGGTTTAGTGGGTGGCATGGGGCGGATACTTAACTAACCCTAAATTGGGGGTTTTATATATCTATAGTTTATTATAATATATATATATATAATATATTATTATATAGGCGAGATTGTTTATAAACCTCTTATGTCCTGAAAAACTAAAACCTCCTTCTTATTGGATCTAGATGAAGTCAATGCATGGGATTCAGTCAAACAGTCAAGTAGACACACTGCATTAATTACTTCACGCAGCGTGCATCCAGATTCACTAATCAACCGTATCTCGATCACTGCCAGTGAATCCACATTCACTGCGTGAACGTAATTAATTGCAGTGCTTTAATGAAGGGTAATTAGGTGCATGTTTGTTAACTGTTTGACTGAATCCTAACGCTCATTGGATGAAAGGAGGTTTTAGTTTTTAGGCTAAGGATGGTTTGTTATTAGTAACTTTTTTTTTTCTTCCCGTGTTTTTAGATCAGTACATATATCTTATAACTATATACTATATATATATATATATATATATATATATTATATATAATATATATATATGGGAGGAGAAGAGAGGGAGATACGATGAGGGTGGAGAGAGGACGAGGAGAGAGAGCGAATCAAGTGTGGTACTTCGTTGCAAAGTTCCGTGTGGGCTCAGCAGCATTAGGTGGGAGAGAGGTTGAGAATTGAAGGCTGGGTCATTGTCTTGCTCCCCAAGGGTGAGTCCAAATTCTCAAAGTTGGTTTTTAATGGTTATTAGAGGAATGTTATGCATAATGAAGTCTCTAAATTGGATCTTAGGGTTTAATTTTAATTTCATTTGGTCATATGTGGTGTTTCTGAAATTAGAGTTTTTTTCCGAAACTGGGGACAATGTTGGTTTGATTTAGGTTTCTGGTTGTTAATTTGAATGTTTTTTTAATATTATGCAAATGACTGGGACTATTAGGGTGAAATTTAGACATGGGTGTTAGTTAATGTTTGTGAGGGGGATATTGTTGAGTATGTTAGAGGAGATTTTGATGTAGAATTCATTGAGGAAAATCAATTTCTTTACCTTTCCTTAGGCAATGTTATGAAAAAAAATGGGTATAGCAAATGTGCTCTTCATGTATTATTCTTTACCAGGTATGGGAGGTTTGAGGAAATTGAAGTCACATGTTGAATTACTTCCAATGCTTGAGCAAGCTAAGAAAGACAGTGGTATACATTTTTTCTGATCACTACACAGATATACCCCAAGAGGTGGATATTCCAGTGGAGGGTGTTTGTGAACCATCATCCTCTATCCCTAATCAATCCAAAGATGCAGAGAATTCTAATACAATTTGCACCACTCCCAGAAGGTATAAGAAAGTTGTGTCAAAGAAAAAGTTAACACCTAGGAGAACAATTTCTAGCCCACTCAAATTCCAAACAACAATCCAATCTCCTAGTGCACCACATGAAAACCCAGATCCTATTCCACCAAATGAAAACCCACCTCCTAATCCACCAACTGATAACCCACCTCCTACTTCACTCAATGAAAATCCACCTCCTAGTCCTAGTCCAATTAATGAATGACAACTTCCTGAGCAAAATGCATCTTCTAGTGAAAGTGATGAAGTGGAAGATGAAACATAAAATAGATCTAATTGAGCTTGTTGATGATGAAGAAGAGGGTGATGATTTGGGGTTATTTGATGAGTTTAGAGGTCAAGATAAAGTAAATGAAAGGGGTAATGTGTTGGATTTTTTGGTCAAAACCACTTTCCAAAATAATTGAGTTTTCAAACTATATATTTATTAGCTACTAGTACTTTTTCAGAAATCCTTAGTAGCGTAATTGGAAAGTAAAAGTTTTGGTGTTTCTCTCATAAAATACTCATGGACCGTGGGACGATCACCAGAATACCCAATCGAGAAAACTTTTGACAATAATGGGCCTGATTAATAGAGTGGGCCCCATGACTTTATCCTAATTTTCTTTGACAAAGAAAAATAAAACATGATTAAAAAGACAAGCTTAGGAAAATATCACTTTCACTGCAAGCTTTTAAAGGAAAAGACAAGCACTCTCACTGCAAGCCCTTAAAGCAAAAACGTGATAATTGACCTCAGCACTTGTTAGGCAGGTTTTGAAGAAACTGATCCAGCCAAAAAGTTAGCAGAATATTTTTTGACAAACAAAAGCATGTGTCCCACTGTTAGGCACCGTCCTTCACCGGCAGAGTTTGAAAGTTTTGAAGTAAAATAAATTATTTTATTACTGCATAGTGTTTTCCCAAACACTATAAATAGGTCCAAAAACTCTTCAGAAAAAATCATACCAAAGCAACAAAACCAAAATATATACAGATATATATATGTTGTAAATTATAGCCAGTGCTCGTAGGAACATTGTCTGAACCGAAAGGTTTCAATAAGATCGAGGAGATCGTTGCCTTAACTGGAAGGTCTTATAGATCGAGGAGATCTTGACAGTACTTGGTTGGTGCACACCACTATACTGTACTGTTGTTCCTAGAAGCAATTTGGCTTTGGGATCCTTGCACCGGAGTAGGCCAAATGTTGCTTTAAGCATAACATTTACAAACACACATCAGCTGGATTTAAAAATTTTAAATTACAGCATTTTAGCTTCTTTTTAGTTTTCTCTGTATTATATCTGTATTATTTCAGATTTAGCCACAGACGCCAACATATTGTCCATGAATCAGTTGCAAACCATGGCCAGAGCTTGCAGCACTGCTAATTGAGCGTGAACTGGAGCTTGAAGATGGCAAGGAGGGCTTGCAATCCGACCAATTTCTCCCTCCATTGGAAAATTCTCCCTAATTTCAGCCCTAATTTTTTAATCCCCCTTCACGTTTTAATTGGACCGACTACCTTGCCACTTCAGCAGAAAACCTGTTAAAACTAACAATCACGTGCTATCATGAGTTTTTTCACTGTTAAGTGAAACTCTGGCACCGGAAAAGCCTAAGTGTCACCATTTTGCCACTTTTTAAGTCAAACTATTGCTGGTGTCACTTTCTAGGCCAAATTGGTTAAAGGATGTCACTTTTTATGGCAATCTACCTTGGCAAATCCTACTGTTGTTGTATGCATGGAGATGGATTTATGTGTGTGCGTGTGTGCTTGTGCGCGCTTGCATATATGAGGAAAATTTTTATACAACATGACCAGTGAAACTTATTAGAAGCAGAAGTTTGTTTTCTATGCTTATCAAAAAGTGTCATTAGAAATGTCGTGATTGCATAATAACTGATTTCTTATAGTACAATTGCCTTGACTGTAACTTTGCAAGATGTGTCTATCAGAAACTGTTGTGATTATAATACTTATGATTAACATGCTTAGTTTTTATTTTAGTTCTGCTCATGATCAATAATTATAATAAGGAAATAATTCAGTTGATCACTGATGATTGATACCCACGATTATTCCCACTCCTGAGGTTGGCTCTCTTCAAATCTTATGGAAGTCACAGATCAATTTCCAAATTGTTAATAACCATAAAGCTATAGCTCTTTGCTATATATCCACATCCCAATTGTTGTTAATCTATGACTTATAAAATTAGATCTAGATTTCTTCTTATTTCTCTGTCCAGTAGATTTGGACCAGTTCTATCAGAGGTTTCTCCATAGCATAATTGAGAACCTGCTTTTGTGCAACCGCCAACCAGTCAAAAGCAGAATGCAACTAGCGGAAGCAGAACCGGTACAGAAATTTCAAAATACCAAACTGGAAGTGGAAAATATACTACTCTAGAATTTACCTAATTAACAATTTTAACTGTTATATGTTTATATGGTTGTAGGCACATCAAATTAGATTCCAATTTGCAATAATTGACAGATGGTATCCAATGTGGCTCCACCCTCTTTTGCAGTTGTATATTATAGAACAATTATTTTTACCTCCATGTTCAAGTTCTTATTATTATATTTGATTTCACCTTATGTTTCTTGAACTCTTGCCTACAGTGCTAAGCTCATTGATATCTATAGAAATCGACACAATATTAGTGCTTCATCTGGTCTAAATGATCCAGCTGTTGCTACTGGAATATCTGAGCTTGTATATGAATCTAAAGAACATGAAGAGCCTGAATCCAGTGATTCCATTGATCCTGACTTAGCAATGGCCTGGGCAGCAGGCTTAGATGATGATGGCTGGGAAAGTAATGCACCTGCAGTGACTAGAGTGAGATATCTTACCAACCTAGATCCTTGTCTTTTATTAAGGTTTATATTTCATCTAATTCACTTAACTAATCTTCACACTTAGAGTAGGTGGCAATTCAGTTCTTATTTTCTATTTCTTCTATTCCACGGCAGGTGGCAATTCAGTTCTTATTTTATATTTCTTCTATTCCACGGCCTTGTCACTTAGTTATTCTAGTATTATTTCTCAAAGTCATATACACATGCACGCACTTCGTGTCATAGAATTGAATGAAGGAATTCATGATACAATGTTATTTCTGTGGCTGACATGCTTATTTGAAAATGTTCTCAGTCAGGAATCCTCGTGCTTTAGGTGTTTGTGTTTCATTTGGATATTCCACAATCTTTATTTATCTCAAATTTTGTGCATTTTGCAATTTAACACATGTTATTTGTTTCTATTATTTTAGGTGAATGAGTTTCTTGCAGGTGCTGGTACTGATGCTCCTGATGTTGATGAGGAGAATGTAACTTCTAGGCTATCGTCTGGTTATGATGACATGTGGGCTAAAACACTATTGGAAACATATGACGTAGAGGTACAATCACTATAATTCTTTATCATAGAGAGATGATCTTGAGATATATTTTGAACAATTAGTGCCTTTATGTTAGGAAGATGATGCAGGCTCATCTGAGGCATCATCTCCTGACTCAGATGGATCTTCTGAATCCTCCCATTTTGGTGGTATGAACTATCCCTCATTGTTCAGCTCACGTCTAACTGGCCATGAACCTTCACGTCAATCGGTATTTAGTCCGAACTTCATAAAGTAACTTTCTTGTTTCTTATAATGGTATTATATTAATGTAGTCTGTGATATAGACGTTGTTTGGAGGGCTTATTTTTTCAAGCTTATAAGTTATGCTACCTTTTGGTGGCTTTTATGACAAAATTTGTACGAAACTTGTATCGGTACAGCAGACATTTGGTTGGTCAAATCTAAGCTTATTTAGATGAGCTTATGATCTAGATTTTCAAAAGTTGGGGAACCCCAACTTTTTTAAATGGGCCTTAAAAGCTAGTTTAAGAGGTACTCCGACAGTCTGACCCAAAAAATAAGCTCCCCCAAACACCCTCATAAAACTTGCCATGTATTAACACAATGGATATATTCATTTAACCTTTGTCTTTTGGGATACAGGCTCTTGGCTGAACTTGATAATTTTATATTTATTCCTGTACACAATGAGTAAAGATTGTGATGATAAATCGCTTTCAAGCTTGCTAATGCTTTTTATTTGCTTAGTATCATGACTGGAATTCTAATCACTCTTGTGTATTGTGATTGTCATGCTTATGCATAGTTGTAGGCAGAAATACTAGGCCCTCTCTGCTTAGGTGGCAAGTTCCTGAGGATTTTATATAGGTTTGTTGTAGATTATAAAGGACTGCAGATATTCTCAATTACCAGATAGCTTTGGCAGACGTATTGAAGGCCACACTTGCCAGAATCATTTTTAGTTGATCTTTAATAAGGACACCAGGTAAAATTGGAAGTGAGCATCATGAGATCTGTTAGAAGCAGTACAAAATAACCTGTTGATTGTAGTTGATATGCTACCTTGAGATTTGCAGTTAGTGTCTAACCTGACCCTGTAAGTTTCCTTTGATAGATGTAATGCAAAATTTGAGTGTGTAAGAAAGTGCTAATGGAATTGTGTTTGAAATCAGGAGAAGAGCTCAGCATCCACTGCACGGAGGGTAAGAAACTCTTCTTATGGTGTTCTTTCAACCTATGAGCTACCTGAAGTGAGCATATTTTTTAGCTGATATATTATATTGAGGCAAATATAAGCAACTTAGCAATATCCCGTGTTAAATATTTGCAGGCCAAGGAAGAACCTTCGTCGTCCTCTGCTTCTGTTCTGCAAAGATTTGAGTCATTTGAAAATCCTTTAGCTGGACCTGAAAGTTTTGGATCACGTGATGATGAAGGCCTGAATTCTGAAAATCCGCAATCTGGGAGAGCACTATATGACTTCTCTGCTGGTGGAGATGATGAGGTAGTGAGCCCTAAGATTTCTCTTAAATTTTGTAGAAACATACTTAGGCCTCAACTGCATATTTTTTATGAAGCAACCTTTTTTTTTTCCGGGAGAAAAAGGATGAGGGGTTCGAAGAAACCCCCAGCCATGCCTACTATGGTCAAGCAACCTTTTCTTGATTTAGTGGTTGTTTAATATGGGATTTCTTTTTTGCAGTTGAACCTGATTGCCGGAGAGGAGCTTGAGATTGAATATGAGGTTGATGGTTGGTTCTATGTAAGTTCTAAGTGTTCTTTCTCTAGTTTTTGTATTTGCAATTCAATATTTTTGTATATATACCACTTAAATCTTGTGTATTTGCAACCCCCTCCCAATCCCAGTATTTGCGAAACTAACCCCGAATCTTTCAATGATAAAAATAGCCTGCAAATCAACAGTTCATCAACTTCGATAGGCTAAGATGTAAATGCAATGTTAAAGTCAACGAAATAGTCAAAAGAAATTCTCAACGTGTCAAACAAAGTTAATGATTTGTTGATTTGGATAT